CTGGCACCCTGCTGGCACCTGGGCCTTGTCCTGCTGGGGACAGGGACAGGGACACTGGCACCCTGCTGGCACCCTGCTGGCACCTGGGCCTTGTCCTGCTGGGGACAGGGACAGGGACACTGGCACCCTGCTGGCACCCTGCTGGCACCTGGGCCCTGTCCTGCTGGGGACAGGGACAGGGACACTGGCACCCTGCTGGCACCCTGCTGGCACCTGGGCCTTGTCCTGCTGGGGACAGGGACAGGGACACTGGCACCCTGCTGGCACCCTGCTGGCCCTGTGCCTTGTCCTGCTGGCGACAGGGACAGGGACACTGGCACCCTGCTGGCACCCTGCTGGCCCTGTGCCTTGTCCTGCTGGCGACAGGGACAGGGACACTGGCACCCTGCTGGCACCCTGCTGCACCTGGGCCTTGTCCTGCTGGGGACAGGGACAGGGACACTGGCACCCTGCTGGCACCTGGGCCTTGTCCTGCTGGGGACAGGGACAGGGACACTGGCACCCTGCTGGCACCTGGGCCTTGTCCTGCTGGGGACAGGGACACTGTCACCCTCTGCATGTCCCTGGCTATCCCTGGGTGTGTCCAGTGTTCCCACCTGTCCCCAGTGTCCCCAGGGCTGTCCCCAGCTGTCCCTGGTATTCCCAGCTGTCCCCCTGTCCCCTGGTACCTCCAGCTGTTTTCCCCATGTCCCCAGCTGTCCCCGTGTCCCCCATTGCCCAGGGCTGTCCCCAGGTGTCCCCAGGGCTGTCCCCATGTCCCCAGCTGTCCTCGTGTCCCCCAGTATCCCCCTTTGCCCAGGGCTGTCCCCAGCTGTCCCCGTGTCCCCCAGTGTCCCCCATTGTCCAGGGCTGTCCCCATGCCCCCAGGTGTCCCCAGATGTCCCTAGGTGTCCCCAGGGCTGTCCCCATGTCCCCAGGTGTCCCCAGGGCTGTCCTCATGTCCCCAGGTGTCCCCAGGGCTGTCCCCATGTCCCCAGGTGTCCCCAGGTGCCCCGGTACCTCCAGCTGGCGCCGCAGTCCCTGCAGCTGCAGCTCGGCCGCGCGGGAAACGTCCTGAGCCCGGAGCTCGGCCACGGCCACGCGGGCACGAAGGGCCACCAGCCTGTCACCAAATGTCACCAATGTCACCAGGGGTCACCAAACGGCACCAAACCCACCCCACGCGGGCACGCAGGGCCACCAGCCTGTCACCAATGTCACCAAGGGTCACCAAACCCTGCCCAATGCCACCCGCAGTGCCACCAGCCTGGGGACAGCGTCACCAATGTCACGATGGTCACTGATGTTACCAAATGTCACCAAGGGTCATTGGTGTCACCAAACCCTGCCTGTGCTCGCCTGCAGTGCCACCAGCCTGTCCCCAGTGTCACCAAATGTCACCAAGGATCACCAAACCCTCCCCACGCGTGCCCACAGTGTCACCAGTCTGGGGACAGTGTCCCCCGAGTGTCCCCAACACCCCCAGCCCCCCCTCAGCGGTGGCCACCACCCACCTGGGGGGTCCCCAAAGTGTCCCCAAGAGCCCTCAGGTGTCCCCAGTGTGTCCTCAAATGTCCCCAAGTGTCTCCAAGTGACCCAAAATGTCCCAACCGTCCCCAAAGTGCTCCTGAAGCGACTCTGAAGTGTCCCCAAAGTGCTCCAAGGTGTCCCCAAATGCCCCCAGAGTGGTCAAAAAGTGCCCCCAGATTTCTCCAAGTGTCCCCAAAGTGTCCCCAGATTTCTCCAAGTGTCCCCAAAGTGTCCCCAGGTACCTCCAGACCGTCCCCAAGTGCCCCCAGGCTGCCCCCAAGAGTCCCCAGACTATCCCCAGGTGTCCCCAGAGTGGTCAAAAAGTGCCCCCAGACTGTCCCCAAAGTGCCCTCAAGTACCCCCAGACTGCCCCCAAGTGTCCCCAGATTGTCCCCAAAGTGCCCCCAGACTGTCCCCAGGGGTCCCCATTGTCCCTGACTCACTCAGCCTCAGCCTCTGCCAGGCGCTGCCTCAGCTGCTCCTCGGAGCTGGGGGGACAAGAGGGGGGGTCAGGGGGGCTTGGGGACATCGGGGGGTCCCCAGGGGACAGGGGGA